CCAAGACTGTCACCCCCCCCCAAACTGTCACCCCAAATTGGCTGCCTCGAACCAAGCTTACAATTCGGTCTGTTGGTATGCCCGTATCGTGACTGATCCAATCCTTGAGTTCCAAAATGTTCGTAATGTTCTCATGATCTTCAATCAAGAACTCCTTCCCTCGCCATCTGTACCTCATGACAATCTATCAGACCCAATGCTCGCTCTCAATGACAGACAAAAAATATCGTTCCGAAGAAGGACCGCTCTCCCTGTCCGGGTTCGGCTCCCCTCCCCCCCCAAAGAAGCCCCCCGCCTCCCAGATGTTTGAGGTTGTGGTTGCGGTTGGTTGTGGTTAAAAAGACTACTCCTCATCATCCTCAACTCCCTCGTCAACCACATCCCCATCGTGTTGGTAAGTCGCATGCATCCTTCGATCCATCGACATGGCGCCGACCACGTTCTGCAGAACAAACTGGATGTCCAGAAGGCCCGCCAGGAATGGCACATACTTCTTTCTGTTAGCAGCGATGACAGGTAAGCGACTCGTACGCGCCCCGTCCAGCATTGAAGTCACCACCGAGCTCGCATCCTTGTTATCCGTAGCACTCTCTATAATTGCCCGAGCCAAGCCAGTCAACATCGACTCAGTTTCGGCATCAGACGCCGACTTGGGTTCTGCCGACTTCGGCTCTGCCGACTTCGGCTCTGCCGACTTCACACTAGAATCCGAGTTTGTTTCTGGCTCCGGGACACTGGTCGGTACCTGCTCTTTTTCCGCCACGACGGCGCCACCAATGTCCACCCCGCTCGCGTGCGCGAGAGCTACCGACCAAGTCATTTTTATGATCACACTGTTGTCGCTGTTCACACACTTCATGTCTTTTTTGTGTCGAAAATAATCGCCCCAGGGCCACCTCCAAGACCACCTCTCTGGCGTGCGTTTTCGACACACCGAGCTCACATGTGCTTTCGACACACCGCACAGCGAAGCCACCGGCGGCCTAGTGCACAACAAACCAGTGCGCCTGGAACCTGGCCCCCTCTCCACCTTCTTTCGCGATGCGCTCTGCACCCTAAACAGTTTTTGCTCATACCAGTGTTGTCCAACACAACCCATATTCACACCAGTGCGCTGTTCGATGTGGCGCTGTCCGATCTGGTGTGTGGTACCACAAAGGCTACTTTGGTAAGGAAGTGAACAACTTGGCAAACGAAACTCTCTGTTTTTAAAAAGTCAGCTACCGGCTGGAAGGCCCTGGCGGAAACCCTTCTCGTTCCAGGATCAGTTTTTTCAACGGAAACCAGGAAGAAGCCGCGCCCGGCCTCTTGAAAGCGGAGCGACTGACCTGTGTCGAGGGTTTCTGGATCGGGACCTCTTGCATCATGACATCCTGGATCGTGGGTTCTTGAGTGACGACACCTTGGACCATCGCGTATGGGGCCGTCGTTTCTTGTGTCGCGTCGCGGGTGTCCATGGCTTCGTGAACCTCCGTGGTCTGGTGAAGCCTGCCTTCTTGTTCTTCGGACGGGGCCAGTCCTACGGGCAGTGTCGGTTCTACGGACGGGGCCAGTCCTACGGGCAGTGCCGGTTCTACGGACGGGGCCAGTCCTACGTACAGTGCCGGTTCTACGGACGGGGCCAGTCCCACGGGCAGTGCCGGTTCCACGGACGGGGCCAGTCCTACGGGCAGTGCCGGTTCCACGGACGGGGCCAGTCCTACGGGCAGTGCCGGTCCTACGGACGGGACCGGTTCTGCGACCAAAGGCGTTTTTTCCAAGATATAACCGATGAGGTTGAAGTCGTTTGGGCGTGACTCACGGAGTCGGAGTTGTCGTCTGCAGAGTGCGGCCAAGTCAGCGAATGCTTCCTGGCCAAGAAGTTTCTCCAATGAGACCGTAATGGTAAGAGCGCGTGGCGAAAGCCACACGGATTCGTTCGGTTTTGAAATCTGGCGTGCGATTGCCCATTGGGTCCAGTGCAAAGCGACGGAAGCCGCTTGTAGTTGTTTTCTGGATTGGGTAGATCCCGCGAGCCGTCGCATATTATGAGCCAAACCCGTGCGGTAGACCCGACCTCGGTCCGCAAACTCGTCCGTGACCTCGACATGAAGCAGGCGAGTCAACAAAGGCATCTGGCGTGCGTCTATGCATTTGTCCATCAGGCAGGCCAGTCGCCACGCATCCGACAACCCTTCCTCGCCTCTCGGTAATGGGAAGTTTTGTAACAGCCTCTCCAATCGCTCCCCCGCCAGTATCGTGCACACGCGTACAGACAAGCACGCCCACTGCAAAGCACAGTCCTCATACAAACCGAGACCGGCTTTGTTGTAGTGGTTCTGTAGTTCTTGTTGGATGACGACAAGGAGCTCCGTTTCCGCCATCTCCAGAAGTTCTCGACAAGGCCGTCGCGTGGGGCACTCCTCATCCATGATGCGCTCCAACACCGGATCCACAGCCCGCTCCCCGGTCGCAGGTCGCCCGCTCTGGTCCATGCCGGCGGGCGGAACCAGAGGTTGATTCTCGACCAGAGGTTGGCTCACGGCATGTAAGTCTTGTTCCAGTTCACGCACCTTGTGTTTGGCCGAGAGGAGGAGGAGATACTTCTTCACCGCGGTGTGCCGCAAGTTGCTGTGCAAGGGCCCCATTTCCTCCCGCACTGCTTCCACGTCCTGATATGCCGCAACTAAATCGCGTTCCAGTCCGCTTTTGATCACTTCGTTGATGAACTGCGCTGCAGCCGCGCCAGATGCAGCTGGGCCAGATGCGGTTGCACCAGATGCAGTTGGCGCCCGCATAATCACCGTCGGCCTCGACGTCACAACCGGACACTTGCTGTCAGGAAGCTTATCATCCGAAGACTTATCGGCGCCGAGACTGCCTCCCTGCACCGCCAACACAGGGAAAAATGCCAGTAAACGCACTCCTCGCGACTCGCATGCCCCACTCCTCATGCCCGGCTCAGCGAAATTAATTACCCAATACCCGCCCGGTTCCGGTGGACGACAAACGCTCAAACTAGGGAAGAAAAAGACCCCGCCTCGGAGCCGGCTCGGTCTGTGGCGGCTCGTTTCACATGAAGCTATCCGACTGTCTACTGCATCTCGCAGATTGCCGTTTCTTGAAAGGCAGTCGACAATCCATACCGTCATCATTTCCACAAGATCGTTTCTGTGAAGTTGTACACACGTCCGTGAACACGACCGGGTCGACCGTGTTCGCTTTTGGTACACTGTGTGCTTTTGGCACACTGTGTGCTTTTGGCACACTGTGCGCTTGTGGCACACTGTGCGCTTGTGGCACACTGTGCGCTTGTGGCACACTTTGCGCTTGTGGCACACTTTGCGCTTTTGGGACGAGTGGCGGGTGGGAGGTGATCTGCTGGGTGCAAATTGAGAGGGACTTGACTTGTTGGGATAGGTCGACGATCTCATCAAGTGCCTTTGTAACGGTGTTTTCGTCTGCGAGAGAAGGGCAAGCATGAAGGGGTTCGAACTCGTTGCCTTGAGTCGTGATATCGATTTGTTTCTTGGGATGCGTGTTAAGTAGTTGACGGTTGATTCCGATGGCAAGGAGGAGTGTCTCAGGTGGTTTGATACAAAGGGGGAGGTCACGGAAGAGACAGGCGCACATGGCAAGGTCGGGGATGTGTTCGGGGACGGCGAAACGGGTTCTACACATCGAGAGCAAGCGTGAGAATACAGATACTCCGAGTGTGCGTTGTAGCCCGACCGCAAACAACATAGCGCGTGTGGTCATGTATCTCCAGGAGGGGTTCACATCACGTTGCTTTAAAGCACGTTCGACACATGACCAAACCACAATTTGATTGCGCACACGCTCGTCGGTCGGCACGAGTCCAATTACTGGCGCAATACCGTAGGCGAATATTCGGCGCTTATCACGAAACTCCGGGTGTTCGTATCCGTCCGCTCCGAAATTCGGAATGAGTAGCCTGGCCAAGATGCCTATTTGATGCGGCTGCAAAAATGTGCGAAAGACACACCCCAGACGCCATGAAGCGCTTGCCGTCGCCGCAAACGCAATAGACGCATTTGTGCGCCCTCTGACATGCGCGTCGTCCACAAGGTCCGGACGCCCGCGTGAGGCTAAAATGCCATTGGTCGTAGGCGCATATCGCGACAACAATTGAGCCAATCGCCTCCGCTCAAACCGACGTGTAACCAGTCCCGCTAAACACGCCCAATTCACCGCACTCTCCGAGTAGTCCGGCTGCCGTCCCGTCTTCTGCAACCTCCGCGCGAATTTGTTGCTTAACAATACGTTCACGTTCTCCATCACGTACTCTATCGGCTCCTCACCCGGTATTACAGGACCCTCCGACAAATCCATAGCCTTACCATGCGCAATTCTATCGGCAGCCAACACTATTGGGTCACCCACCATCGGGTCCGAACGAGCAGCCAACGTCGCAGCCAACTCACGCTTCAACTCTTCCCGTCTCGCCTTCAGTCTACCCCAATCAGCGACACTCGCCCCCGCGCTGTTAACCAATGCTCTCTTCGCCGCCGCCACCAAGGCCTTGTCCGCTGCCGCCAACTCGTGCCGCTGACAGTCCTCAACCATAGCCAGATATTCACATCCCGGCGTCAATGCCTCACCTGCCACACCCGGCCAGATCTCAGCCTCACACGAACCATCTGTCGCAACCGTAGCCGCCGCCGGAGCCGTAACCGTAGCCGCCGCCGGAACCTCCTCAATGAAAACTTCGTCGCGGTCCGTTACCTCCTCGCGGTCCGTTACCTCCTCGCTGTCCATGACCTCATCGCGTTCCAGAATGGTCAGGACCGCCAAGATGCACGCCGTATATCCCAGCTGCTTTGCACTGCGGTTGCACCGCATCCTTCCCAATAAAATCCACTCCACCCCGCGCCTGCCTACTCAATCCCCCCTCCCACGCGGCCGCCGCCTTCTTCTCACGCGGCCGCCGCCTTCTTCTCACGCGGCCGCCGCCCTTATTGCGAGACGAAGGACCGAATACGGCTGGACCTGTCGGCACCAAAAAAGACCAACAGAGCTGCGCGCTGGCTTGGAACCGTGGTTAGTCGGATAAGCACCGAGCGAGTGCCCGCTTCTTGAGCGGGAGCTGACTCTGTTCGGCGGACACATCGGTGCGACGTTTTTGCCGCTCGGCTTCAGGACGAGGATCGGGTGCTGCGGTAGGAATCCGAGTCGGAGCTGGAGTCGGAGCTGGAGTCGATAGGTCGTGTTGGTTGGGGTAGAGTAGGCGCTGCATTGTATCGAAGTTTTTGTCGAGGGCGGCACAGGTGTGGTCTGTGAGGTGTGTTAAGGGCACATTGTGTTCGTTGAAGAAGGCTTCCAGCGTTCTAGGTGGGATGACGATGCCTTGGAGGAGACAACCGACTAGGCAACGGTCTGAGAGTAGTATGCGGGGTGGGGCGCCGGACCGTTTGCGCCAAAAGGTCGCGACTCGGCCAAAGACTGCATCGCCCAAGACCCGATGGAAAACGACTGTTAGAGCGAGACGACTGGAAGTCAATTGACACCAACGACATCGGTTCTCCGTACCCAGACTTTCCACACCAAAACACGACCCGACACGACGTCTGGGCTGCGCCGCCTTCCGTAACCATTCCGACAACTGACTCGCCGCCAGCACACACGTGCGCGCGTCTGACGCACACGGCAACTGCCTAAAATTCGCACCCACCCCATCATAGTACAACATCCCTCGACAGTCCAACGCATCGCTGTCCTTAACACCTAACGATGAAAACAACCTCACCGTCCGATACGAACGGGCCTTCCGCTGCAGCAAGCAACCTAACACCCACTCGTCCGACATCTCTGGGAACACACTCAATTCACTTCCGCAAGACACGTCTTCTCCTGCAGGGGCCGAGTCTTCTCCTGCAGGGGCCGAGTCTTCTCCTGCAGGGGCCGAGTCTTCTCCTGCAGGGGCCGAGTCTGAGTCTGCTGCTCCTGCAGGGGCCGAGTCCTCATGGGGCAAAACCCAGGCTCGCTCTTTCACCTCATAGGAGGCCACCAGCCGGTGTCGCAGCCGCGTGAAGGGGGCTTGTAACCCGGCACGGCGCAGTGCCTCGCACAAAGACCCGGCAAGCCAAGCCCACTTCCAGCCACAAGAGCTGAAGACGGGAGGCGCTGTGGGCCGTCGCGCGAGCAACCGAGTCCTTTCACGGTCCGGTCGGTCCAGAAACCGGTTCAGCCATCTCATCAACCATGGCCCGCGTTTCGATAGGAATCGAAACGCCGATTCTTCAAACCTCGGACCAGCTTCGGCAGACACGTATTCCCTGATCAACTCGGCCACCACTGGCGTCTCCCTCGTTTCGCTGTCTCGCACCACGCCCGACGACGCGTCGCGTCGCGCCCGCAACAAGGCCGCAGGCGCCCTCTTCACAAACTCCACCTCCGTAACGGACGACGGAATCGAACCCAGGGGCTCGGAGTCCGGAGTTGCCCGTTTCTTTCGAGTTGCAGCGCGCTTTTTTGGAGTTGCTCCAGTTGGGTCATCGGCGTCCGGCTCCGGCGCCGCGGAGTCGGCGTCCAGGCCGGAGGCACCGAGGGCGCCGGCGACGTTGAGGGCGAGAAGTTCCCTAGTCCAGGCGCCAATGCGGCGGAGGGCGGATTCGAACTCGCGACCGTCGGGTGTGGTGTCTACGAGTCGTTTGGATGCCGAGTCGAGGAAGTGGTCGGGGACGCCGCAGAGCGTGGAGAGGGCACAGATTTTTGTTTGGACGAGGCGCGTGGCCTTGAGGAGGCATCCGACAACGGCCAGGTCCGAGAGCTCCCCGGTCGGCGGAGCGCGGGCGATGGAACGCCAGAGGGCTGCAAGTTCGGCGAACAGTTCGGGTCCTAGGCCGATTTTGACGGCGGAGGCTACGAGCATAGCACGTTGCGAGAGGGAGCGCCAAGTGCGTCCAGTGGGCGGTGCGGAGTGGAAGCCGGTGTAGAGCCAGTGTGAGACGAAGGAGGCCGCGAGCACAAGTCGTCTGGATTCCTCGGAGCGTGGCAGTCGCTGTAGGCCGTCGAGTCCGAACGCATACAGTCGGTCGCGGCCTCGGAATTCTTCTTCCGGGTGTAGGCCCACTCGCGTTGCAACCGTGGCGCGTTTGCCGTAGTATAGACGCGTTTTTAGCATGCACGCGAACCGCCAAGCCGCGGACCCCGCCGACACCAGGGGAGCGCGTGGATCTCGGAACCTCAACGCTTCCACGTCGTATCGGTCCAACAACCCTGCCAGTCGCTTCTGCTCGAACCGCGCACACGCCATTGTGCCCACCAACACAAGCGGCCAAGCACACGCCTCACAATGCACTGCCTCCTTACGGTACGCACTCGTCGCGAAACAGTCCTCAACTGACGTCATGAACTCCTCCTGCGGACCTGCTGGACGGCCTAAACCCAGAACTCCTCCTGGAACTGGATTGGGAGTTGGATCGGGAATTGGATCGGGATTTTTGTCTTGAACTGCGAGGAGGTCCTGACGGAGTTCCCCCCATCGTTCCGCCGCTTCGTTCACACGACACACGGTGGCTGCGGTGGCTGCGGCAATCCATGCCTTTCGCGCTTGCTGCAGCGACTCACGTGCCTCCGCCTCTTCGGCCGCCAGACATCGCGCAATCACACGCGTCACGAACCCCGCGGCCGCCACTTCGCGACACGGAATGCCCGCCAACACAGCCAGTCGCAAAGGCAATCCCCGTTCGCGACACTCACAAGGCTTCATAAACCCCTGCAATTATTCTAAAAAATAACCGGCTACCGCCCGCCTTGATCAGGAAGATTGAGTGCTACCTTGTTCTTCGGAGAACCCGGTGCTCGGATCGAGGTTCACGTCCCATGCATAACGACCTCTACATTACGACCTGTACGTCGCCCGCTTTTTGAAAGGAAGGTGCCCCTCCTGGACAGCCTGCCCCTCCTCGACAACCTGCCCCTCCTCCTCTTTGATGTAACATCTTCTTTTCCTGGACGTGCAGACAGCGGGACGAATATACTTACTTTTAAGAGGAACGTTTGCGGCAGCGATGGGATCGGCGCTCAGGTTCAGGTTCAGTGGCACTTCTGTTCCAGCTTTCATCTTTCGCGTGGCGTTGCCCGGGAGCTTGCGCGCCTCTTTCTGTCCAGCCTTCTGTCGACCGCGCCGGGCCGGCCACGAGGGGCCGGGACGCGTCAGTTCCGTGGCGCGCATTCGCCGGGTGACTTCGTCGATTGTCGCTTGCAGCAGATCGGTCGTCGCCCGAGGCGCGACGACTACGGGGTCGTCGATGACCAGGGCTGCGGGGTCGTCGTCGATGACGAGGGCTGCGGGGTCGTCGTCGATGACGAGGGCTGCGGGGTCGTCGTCGATGACGAGGGCTTCGGGGTCGTCGTCGATGACGAGGGCTGCGGGGTCGTCGTCGATGACGAGGGCTTCGGGGTCGTCGTCGATGACGAGGTTTTCGGGGTCCTCGATGGCCTCGGGGTCGTCGATGACGAGGGGGTCGGCGGGGTAGAGTATTTGATGCATGACGTCGAAGTTTTCGTCTATGACCGCGCAGCGTTGGTTGTTAAATTCTGCGGCGGGAACGTTGTAGCGATCGCAGAAGGCTAGAATCTCGTGACTGCGAAAGGTGACGTCTCGGATAAGGCAGGCGATGAGGCAGCGGTCGGAGAGGATGGTTGCCGGCGGTGCTTGGGTGCGTTGGCGCCAGAGACTCGCAAGCTTCGCGAAAGGTTCAGGACCCAGTTCGTGGAAGAGTACGGTGGTGACTCCGAGTCGAACGCGGGTGGCCGTATTCCAATGGCGGAAGTCAGGGTCCTGCCGTTTGGCCTTTTTACGTGTGGCTGGACGGTAATGTGCCCTGCATAGTAAGTGCCATAGCAACGAGGCAGCGAGCACGATGCGTCGTCGTGCTGGTGATTGCGGTAGCTTGCGGTAATGCTTGCCAAATGATTCACAATACAACATCTCCTTACACCGTTGCTCACCCTCACTGACCGAAACTTCCAGATTCGTTAACAGCAACTTGGGGTCCAGCGCCTGTGTGCTCCTCTGTAACAAACACGAAAGCAACCATTCGTCCGACACACCCGCCGACAACGGCATAGCCCCGTACTTCAGCTCTTCCAGCCGTTTCCTGAAAGGCGCCAACAAATGCGCCAGCTCGGAATCGAACCGCCGCTGGAGACCCATGCAACGAATCTTCTTCAGCAACGCCGTAACGTAACTGAACCACCGCCAACGACACGATCCCACCAAACCCACGCAGTGGCGCTCATTCACCCCGACTGGAGTCGACGGCACCAAGTTCCTCAAGGTAGTCAAGAACATCTTCAGCTTCGCAAAGTACTCGTTCCGGCCCGCCTCCGTGATCTCGGCCGCCACCGTCTCAGTGGCTTCCTCTGCAAGGTACTTTTTGACCAGTTGCATTGGTCCCGGCTCCGCCTGCGAGGCCGTGACGTCATCCCAGAGCCGCACGGGCGGAGCGACCGCGCGGGCCATCAACAGGTCGGTGGGAACTTCGGCGAAAAGCGCGTGTTCAACATCGTGCCGGCTTCCAACGGCACCTAGAGTGCGTGGAGTTCGGGTAGCAGCTATGGCGCCGACGGTGGCGATGGCGAGAATTTCTTTGGTCCAGCTGGTGACGAGGTTGAGGGCGGATTCGAACTCGCGGCCGTCGGGTGATGTATGGAACAGGCTACGTGGGAGTTGCTCTAGGAGCTTATCGGGGATGCCGCAAAAGGTAGAGAGGAGCGTAACCCCGTCCTTGACGGCCCGCGAACGCATGAGTAGACAGCCAACAACACCGTAGTCCGATAGTTGTTCAGGCGGTGGTGCGCGTGCAGCTGTTCGCCAGAGGGCTGCAAGTTGCGCGAACCAGTGCGGTCCAAGCGCGACGCGCATGGCTGCGGTCAACACAACGGCGCGGCCGGTCATACACAACCAGAAGCCCGTGCCGGATCCATGGGAGAGTGAGTGTTCTCGGCCACGGGAAAGTCCCGACTCGAGACGGTTGGAGAATGCCGAGGCAGCTATCATGAGTCTTCGCGCCTCTTCTGAACGCGGCAGACGACGCACCCCGGCCAGTCCAAAGGCGTAGAGCGTTGTGCGCCCGCCGAGTAGTTCCTCCAGCCTTACTCCCAACATATGTATAATTTTGCGCAGTTGCCGGTAAACTAAGTGTGTCTTCAACACACATGCCAACCGCCATAACGGAGACACACCCAGTCGCTCCGCGTCCACCGGCGAGATTACATCGTGCCGCTCCAGTAACTTCGCCAGCCTCTCCGGCTCAAAAACTTCGACTAATATCTCCGCCGCACACATCCACTGTCCGCTGCAGCTTTCACAATCAGGCCCCCTCTTCCGACGACACCAGGGATCAACTTCTTCGCATATCGACTCCACCATGTCCATTACATCCTCTCGTATCTTCGCACTCACACGGGGCACCCATACCTCTTCCTCTCTCAAGTAGCCCTCAATCAAACGCGACACAAACCCCGCTGCCATCTGCCTCCCCGCCGCCGGCCCACACTCCGGCTCACGCGTGTGCACACTCTCGCCACCCGATCCACTCGCCCGCTCTTCACCAGACGGGCCCGCCACGGCCTCCGTGCCACCCAACACCGCCGCAAACACCGCCGACGGCCTCCAGACCGGACATCCACAGGGTCGCATGGGCAGAATTTGTTTAAAAAAGAATAAATAATAGTTATACGACAGCGGCTGCACTCCACCCGGACTACACTCCGCCCGGACCACACTCCGCCCGGACCACACTCCACCCGGACCACACTCCACCCGGACTACACTCCGCCCGGACCACATTCCGGTCGAGACTAAACTCCGGTCGGGAACTCTGTCGGGCATTTGACCAACTTGATTTTCTTGTGCGACAGGACCGCAGCCACTGCGTCGTCGTAAGATCTCTTTGCCACCAGCTCGTGTAGGGCACCACTCCCGAGCGTACCTGACACACCCGGCGTATGGATAGTGGCGCGGTCCTCCTCATCGATAGTGGGGGTGTCCTCGTGGAGATTGGGGTGCTCGTCGAGCGTGGAGTAAGTCGCGGCAGGCGCGGTCTTCTGGGCGTTGTCAGCTCCTTTCATGGCGTCGGCCCTGGGGTATTCGGGAAAGACGGTGTCAGGGAAGAGGTTGTGGAGGACGCGTACGAAGTTTCCTTCGACTAACGCGCATGGGTCGAGAGGTTCTAGGTGTGCGTAGAGAATTCGGACTTTGGTGGCAAGGCGTTTCAAGTCCTTCCGTTGGAGGGCACAGTGGGTGAGGAGACCGGCAATAAGACATGCATCGGACATGACATTTCGACAGGGAGCGGCCAGACGTTGCCGCCATAGCGCAGCCAATTGGGCGAACACTGCGGGTCCGAGCCTGGCGTAGATTGCCGCCGTCGTAGCCATGTACCTGCGCGAAGTAAAGCCCCACTCGGCCCTGGAATTAGCCAGGTCCCTCATCACCAACTGTCCACGATACAGCCAACGGGTCACTTGCGAAACTAACAACAGTGTTTCCCGCGCACGCTTACGTCTTGGCAATCGCCACAACTCGTTTGCCAAATCCTGTCGGTATAGTGTCTGCGTGCACTGCAACTCCTCGTGCCCGTACAACTCCAATGCGTCCAGCACCCGAGATACCCACGTGCAATTCAACGTTTGTCGTAACACGCTCGCCAACAACCATGTCCTTGTCAATGCGTCCGACTCGGTCGAGGCCGACGTCGACTCCGGTTCCGCTTCGGGTGAATCGAGCACTCGAGCCTGTACTTGTTTCAATGGCGGCTTGTAAGCACCCACCCTGTGAGAAAGCAAACTCGACGGATCACGGAATGGTCCCACCAAACTCTCTACTGCCGCCGCGTCTGCCGTGTCACAGATTATTTCTGCCAACCGGAAAGCACGCCACGAAACGCCGTACCACGAAATCGGCTTCGTGCCCGACGCCACAAGCCTGGATCTAATCTGTGACAACACATCCGACAACTTCTTGCGTCGCCGCTCTTCCTCAGTTCGATTACTAGGCGGCCGCACCCGGCCCTGGACCGTGGCGTGGCCCTGGACCGGGGCTTGGCCCTGGACTACCTCTTCTTCTTCGCGCAGAAATTGTTTTGCGAGGTCCGCGCAGAGGTTGGCTGACATGGGGTGCTGGTGGCAGCAGAGGCAAAGCTTCTGTGGGCGCAGGAGGAACCAGCGGTCGCAGACGGTGTTGTCCGGGAGGGCAACCAAGCTAGGTTGGTACGGGAATTGATCGGCACCAGTCGCAGGCCGCTCGAGTTCGCGGAGCACGGATTCGAACTCGGTACCATCGCGTGTGCAGAGGACCCGGGAGCGTTCGCGAGGGGCGGTGTCTGGCAGGTTGAGCAATTGCCGGATGGAACCGACCTCGGCTCTCCGGATGTTAGCGCCCTGAAGCAAGTGTGCAATGATGCCAAGATCGGACAAAATCTGGGCGCTCGGCGCATGCGTCTTGTGTCTCCAGAAGTCGGCAAAACGCGCGAAGAGCTCGGGACCGAGACTGTGATACAAGCCGGCCGTGACGAGGAGCACGCGACGGGAGACACCGCCACGGAAGTCTGGGACGGCGCGCGAGAGCCATTGCGTAGCCTGGGAGCACACGGACACAAGTTTCCTGGCATGTTCAGAATCGGGGAGTCGTGTAAGGGCGGGTGTCCAGCCTTCTCGGAAGACCTTGAGCGTACTGCGGAATTTAGGCGAATCTTGAAGACGCAGCACACGCAAAAACGAGCCCATACACACCGACGCACTGCACCGCATCAATGCTGAAGACAACAACCACATCGGCGACTCAGAATCCACCAACGACGCCCCATAAACCTCCGTCAACATTGCGCGCAGCGTCTCTGGTGCGACACGTTGGCATAATATTGCACCCAACGACAGCCACTTCCACGAACAGAAGGTTAACCGCGGCCGTCTTCCTCCTCCCCTCTCAATCCGGCCGGCCCGCGTTCGGGTTGGCGGGTGCAACACGAACCTGGTCAACAACGTTTCCAATTTTTGAGCCCGCACCCCCGACTGAGCCTCCCCCCCCGCACCCGATCGCCGCGGCTTCGACAAAGCAAGGTTCCGCAAATCGGGTGGGGGTCTGGACGAGCCTGGGTCGAACGAGGGGTCAGGGACGAACGAGGGGTCAGGGACGAACGAGGGGTTAGGGACGAACGAGGGGTTAGGGAGGTCTTCTGCGATTTCTACCTCATTGAGGACCCGAGTCCGTGCGTTTTCCTCAGCCAAACACCACTCCACTAAGTCCACCATGAAACGCGTACCAGCCGCAGCAACCGTCCCGCTGATCACTCTCACCGTACACTGACTGCACTTCATTTCCCACTTCCAATAAATTATTAAACAGACTACTCCCCTTTCACTATCACTGTCCACCACCACTGGGGGGGGTTGATGAGTCCCTCATATCCTACCCATATCCTGCGTCCCTCGAGATTAATTTTTACTGAGATCACTTGCATCGCCCGGTACATCACCTGTCTTGATAGCGGCAAACCAAGAGCTTTTCTGGCCGCAATATACCCGGCCATATGTATTGATTAACGGGCTGTATTAACCAAAGAGATTCATCTGCAAATATGGGGTAGCGGGCTGCGATATTTTCAAATATTTGTCCACCAGTAGGATCCATGGTATCCCTGGGAAATATAGTAGACAAAACATACGTCCCTTTTGTTCGCCGGTCCAACGGGATGGTCGTGTTATCTATCTCTGAATACACAAGACGCTACAGACATTTGTATGGGTCACTCCCAAAGCTGTACTCAGCTCTAGGCTTGATCTGCTCGCTGTGTGTGCTCGCTGTGTGTGTGATCATCATCTGGTCCGGCGCGTCTTGTGCCACTACGGTGGTGTCGACTGACGGTAGCTAATGGATGACCTGCGCTTCATCAATCTCTCTTGATAATGACAGCGCTTCTTCGTTCCGGATCCACAGCAGTGAATTTATTTATATCTGACCAAAATCAAGCCCCCATTGGCAGTTCCAGTGGATCCATGCTAATGACAGGTAAAACTGTATTGGGGTCCGATAGGTCTGTCCGGAACCGGGACCAGGGGCTGAATGCGAGGCGAGACCGACTTGTTGCTTCCGCATGTTTACTGTGTATTCCAACATTCCCTTCGCAGATTAGGTGCCCTATATATAACTGGGGTTGCGATTCTAATACCGATTTGTCGCGGCCAACTTTTTCTATCGTGATTCGGTTCATCGTGTTTTGGAATACGGCAGGAGCAACCTTCAATCCAAATTCAAGAGCCCTCGAATTCCATAAAAGGCTGTCATATTAACCTTGGCAAAATATCCACCTTGAGGGATCCCCTGCAATGTATCCTGTATGCTCGTAGATGGTAACTATTCCCAACCAGGTGTGCATCCACTGAAATGTAATTACCGCAAATTCGCAACGGCTTGTTCGGTGTCATGCCTCGATCTTACTTCCGCTCGTCTTCTGGACCAAGTGTTTCAAATCTATGCATAAAATCTTGCGGAGAATTTTCATAAGTACACCATCAGCAAAAATGCGGAATATCTGAGTCTACATGAATCAAAGCCATGCCAGAGTGCTGAATGGGC